AGTGAGGTTTTTTTTGGGTTGTTTTTTTTTTTTTTTAACACTCCTTAGAATGATCAATCATCGTGAGAGAACAGAAGGGCAGTGTTTGCACAGGGAGATAGCTCAGGGGGCAGGAATGCATAGGAAAGGACACGGGGAAGAGGTAACTACAGGGAAGAAGTGGGAAGAGAACCACTGCATTGTGGGGAATTGCAGTCAATGTCATAAAACCAAATGTATATGAACTACTGTATGGAAAATGAATTTGCCCTGTAAGCTTTCAGCCAAATCACAATAAAAGTTAAAAAATAAATAAAACCAAAAATGGCTCGTTATCTATTTGAGAATGTATGCCACCTCACCTTAAAAAATGCAAAACAGTGAACATTTTCACTACAATGAGATCATTATCACTATCAGATGAGCAAAAATTGAATCCTAAGAGTACTATTACCTAAATGACCATCAAGAGTAGCAATGGAGAAGATTCCTAGAATACTACAAAGCAATGAGGATGAGTGAGATACAAATACACACAACAGGGATAAACTTCACACATATAATGTTGAGTGAAAGATGTCAGACACAAAAGAGGAAGTACTCCACATTTCCATTTATATAAAGTTTAAAAATGGGCAAAATTAATATAGAATTTAGTGTCAGGACAGCCGTTACCCTTGCACAGTAGTGACCAAACAGAAGGAAGCAAGAGGGAGCCTCTGGAGTGCTAGCCATATTGTTTCCTAATCTAGGCTATTTATGCAATGCAAATCATTTTGTTGTTCTCTATGTAACCATTTTTTTGAATGTATGTTAAATTTCGGTAAGTACCTGTTTTGGAAAAGACTGTTATCAAAGTTGTGAAGAAGTGAAAGTACTCATACACACATGGTAGGGTACAAACTATCAGTTTTTGAAAGGCATTTATATCAAAAGTTTAAATATGCCTACTCTTTGATCCAGCAATCCCCTTCTAAGATTTATCCCAACTACATAGTAGAAAAAAAGGCACACACACCAATAATTGATATCAAGCTGCGCTAATTATATTAAAGGAGCTCTGGTAGCATAGTGCCTAAGGCACTTGACTGCTAACCAGAAGGCTGGTGGTGCAAACTCACCAGTCACTCCTCGGAAGGAAGATATAGCAATCTACTTCTGTATGATTCGCCTCGGAAACCCAAGGAGGGGTCGCTATGAGTCAGGTGCCACTTGACGGCACATAACAACACAACAATTATATTAGGTCCATGCCCATCAAAAGAGTATCATTTACAAAAATTATGGTACATTTAAACAATGAGATAACATTGCAATCACTAAAAAAACCAAAACCAAACTCACTGCCATCAAGTCAGATCAGACTCATAGCTACCACTCCTTGGGTTTCTGAGGCAGTATCACTATGGAAGCAGATTGCCCAACCTTCCTTCCGAGGAGTGGCTGGTGGGTTTGAACCACCAGCCTTCTGGTTAGCTGTCAAGTGCCTTAGGCATTATACCACCACAGCTCCTAACCAAGGCTAAATAGACTATTTGCTCCAACTTATGAGAGATGTCCATTATCTACGGGGTGAAAAGGAGATAGGCATGACCCCATTTTTGCAAAACTATGTTTGTATTATATATACACAAAGAAGAAAAATCTGGAAGGATATACACCAGTTATTAATGGTGGTTTCCCCACGGCACCCCCAGGGAAAAAGTTGGACGAAAAGATGGTGACAGTATCCTATTCCTGTATCATGATAGGATTATGATTATCACGAAAATAAGTTATTTCCATGGTTGGGGAAGCATTCCTCAAATAGTATCCTCAATTCAGTTCTCTGTCAGTGGAAAACCCTTCCTTTACCTCTTCACACTCCCCTTATCTCCTTAACTTCCTTCCAGGAATTTTATTTGACCCCCCCGCCCTCCACCCCCTACCTTCACTACAAGGCCCTGAGCTTCTATTATAATGCTTAGCACAATGTGTGGAAATCATCTGTAGTCTATCTCTTATAAATTCTTAAAGGGACTATTTTACATTTAATTTCTGTATCTCCAAGGCTGTACAAAAGTTCTAGGGACCCAGTAAGTACTAATAAGTGGTTTTTGGATAAGTACTCAAATCTTCTCTCCAATTGCAGAACTTTCAATTCTGCATTCAAAGGCTGTAAAGAAATGCAAATTCTCCACTCCATCTCAGACTGTGAATAAGAATGGTTGGCAAAGTAGGAATGGGAACTACGCTGGAGAAAGAATTTCAGTGGGTGAGTGGTTGGGGGAACAATTGTATAGCATTCATTCAGGTCTTCATATGAAGGCTAATACAATCATATGCATTACTGCTAGTTATTCACAAATCAAGAATAGCCTTTTCCACTCAACAAAAAGTAGATGTGGAGAAGGGTAGAAGTACCCATGGGCAAATAGAGCTCAAAAATTTCCTTCCTTGCGCCTTGGTCACTATACCACAGGAACAGGATATGTATGTGGTCAATTTAAGATTATTGCACCGTCCCCCTTCCACCTAAACCACAGCACAAAGTAGCTGATTCAGAAAAATCTATTGAACCCTAATTCTGTTCACTCACTCCTTGTATGATCTTATTACCTATAATGTCTGAGCCTTAATTTCCTCTCTGTTAAGAAGTTGTTAAGAATGCTTGCCTTTCTCTCAGGATTGGGATTGGGGTTAAATAAAATATAAAAAATATCTAGTATACTGGTTTTCAAAAAACCACTCAGTAATTATTTCCCTTCTCTTTTCTTTTTTTCCCCACATCTAAAAATCCTTTCAGATTTTTTCAGGGGTTAGGGGTGAGGGAAGACACTTCCATGTTCTTACCTTGGTCTGGGAGGAGTCGGAGTTCATTCCCACTGACACCCAGCTCCTTTATGTAGCATAAATCTTGAGAGACCCCAGCAGTTGCTGCTGCTTCTCGATCCTGGAAGATTTTCCTTAAGATATAAGGCACAGATTGGAACTTCCGGGGTGAAGGTGCCTTGTCTAGGCCCAGAAATCGGAGAAATACATGTTCTTGAAATTGGAATGGCTGGCTCAAGCCCAAGGTTAGCAGAGTACCAAGAGCCAAGACTGGAAAGGAAGGAAGCATGGCCTCTGAGGTTTAACAAGGCTGACTGTTCAAGCTCAGAAGAGCTCTAGCGCTAGACTGCCTGGCAATCCAGGTGCTGCTAATTTATCTGATTCAAGATAATCAACTATGAATTGCTCTCTTCCCAGCTCCTCCAAGGTGATTGGATGCTACAGGACATAGAATTTTCTTCACTTCCTTCTCCCTGGAAGCTCTGGTGGCATGGTACATAAGGCTTTCACTACTAACCAGAAGGCTGGCGGTTCAAGCCCACCAGCCACTCCTCGGAAAGAAGGTTGGGCAATTTACTTCCCTAGCGGTTTCCTCCTCTCGGACACCCAGGGAGGGGTCACTAGTTGAATGGGACCAACTTAATGGCAATGAGTTTGAGTTTACTCTTCCAGGAAAAAATTTACAAAACAAAGATTATCAATGTGTGGACATAAACTCTGCAACAATCTGAGGTTAATCAGTAGACAAAGCCTGGAAAGGAGACTTGGATTTATTACTTTAACAAACATTTATTGAGCAGCAATTATGTGCCAGGCATTGAGACTGGTGCTGGGAACACAGTAATGAATAATTGAAAATCTTACAACTCTCAGTCTAATTAGATGAATATATAGGTAAATTTCTGATAGAGGTTTATCCGTATTTATGTGGTAAAAGTAAGCCAAGGAGGAAGAACTCTGATTTAAGAAGGACTGAATTTTATTTATCTACGTATTCCCTTTCTAATTCAGACTGATTGGATTCATTCTGGTTCCCTCTCTTATTAGCTATACGATGTTGGGCAAATCACTTAACCTTCTAATTAAGTTCTAGTTTTCTCAACTGAAAATAAAAACTGACTTTCTGTTTGCCATCAGAATCTGATAAGATTATACTTTTGAAGTGCTCAGCACAATGCCTGCCACATAGTAAGCACACACAAAGTGTTTACAGGGGAGACGAGACAGCTTCAAAGCTGAAGCAGATATTTAGCAGTGAGACAATCAGGCGTTCTAAGCTGAGAGAATACATGTGAAAAGGCATGCAATTGATTGAATTTAAATATGGCAGCATCTATTAATTTTTGCTTTTGTTATTTTACCTTGTTTTATTTATTTATTAATTGATTTTGCCAAACTACTGAAAGATTTTCAAATGTTGTGGAAAAATTAATTTACACTCAACACCAATATAATTTTTGAACTTTTTGAGAACAGGGAATTTATCATTATACATTCTTCTACATCATCTATTATAAGAAGGGGAGCTCTGGTGGCATAGTGCCTAAGGCATCTATCTGACTGCTAACCAGAAGTCTGGTGGTTTAAACCCTCCTCAGAAGGAAGGTTGGGCAGTCTACTTCCATAAAGATACTGCCTTGGAAACCCAAACAGGGATCTATCTATAAGTTGGATACGACTCAATGGCAGTGAGTTTGGTTTTGTTATAAGAACGAAGCTCTGGTGGTGTGGTTAAGGCATTGGGCTGCTAACCAAAAGGTCAGTGGTTTCAATCCACCAGCTGCTCTACAGGAAAAAGATGAGACAATCTGCTTCGGTAAAGATTTTGTTGCTGTTGTTATGTGCTGTCCAGTCGGACCCCATTCACAGTGATCCCTCCTTGGGTTTCCGAGGCAGTATTTCTCCGGAAGTAGATTGCTCAACCTGCCTTCCTAGTAGTGGCTGGTGGGTTTGAACTGCCAGCCTTCTGGTTAGCAGTCAAGTGCCTTAGGCACTACGCTACCAGAGCTCCTTCTGTAAAGATTTACACCCTTGGAATATGGGGGTCGCCATGAGTTGGAATTTACTTGATGATGGGGAGTTTTTTTTTTTTGGTTTATTGTAAGAGCTTGTTTCCCACAAAGGTAAACAAAATGTTGCATCTAATATACAATAGTTTCCTATCATTTACAGGATAATAAAACCAAACTCACTGCTGTCCATTCAACTCTTAGCGACCCCTCCTTGAGCTTCCAAGGCGGTAGCTTTATGGAAGTAGATTGCCCAATCTTCCTTCCAAGGAGTGGTTTGTGGGTCTGAACCGCCAGCCTTCCAGGTAGCAGTCAAATGCCTTAACCACTACACCCAAAAATATTTTGCTTGGCATATAAAGACTTTCCTGTCCTGGCACCCATATTCCTGCTGTTGTTAGATGCCAGCAAGTTGATTTTGACTTATAGTGACCCTATGTACAGCAGAACAAAACACTGCCTGATTGTATGCTATCCTCACAATCCTTGCTATGATTGAGCCCATTGTTGCAGCTATTGTGTCAATCCACTTTGTTGAGTCTTCCCCTTTTTCGCTGACCCTCCACTTTACCAAGCATATTCCTTGCTCATCTCATTTTCAGCCACTCCACATCATCTAGGAGTTGCTGGGTGGTACTAAGTGTTAAGGAAAATCACTGCTAACTGACAGGTTGGAGGTTTGAGTCCACCCAGAGCCTCTAAGAAAAAGGCCTAAGGATCTACTTCCAAAATAATCAAGAAAAACCTCGTGAAGCACAGTTCTGCTTTTGCACACCATGGGTCACTGTGAGTCAGGATTGACTAAACGGCAACTGTTTTTTTTTTTTTTTTTTTTTCACAGAATCCTTGGTAATATTTATTATCAATTTTAATCATAAGAATAATATATGATATGGTCATCAATTGCTTAAATGTTACATTTCTTAGATCATTATTATTTTTTAAGAAAACCAGCCTCAATGTTGATGCTCTAATGATACAACCTAGTTGTAGTTCTCTCATGAGCTCATTTCATCTCAAACCTTTTCACAAACCAAGTTCAAACTTATTTCCAATACAAAGATTTCGATTTAGATGCTTCTTCCTTCTCCCACAGAGCCTTGAATGTGTTTGCCTACCTCCCTTCCAGACAATATCCTTCTTGGGGATAGGAATTGTACCTTTTTGTCTAAGTATCTCCACTGCCAATGAAAGTGTCTGTCAGATACTAGACATTTAGTAAGTATTTGTATAAAAAGTAAGTGAGTGAATGAATTGGTGCCATTTCCATAGATCTAACGTCTCTGGATAGCCAGATTTTCTCTATTCCCATTGTTTCTATCTCCTCCTACATGCATCCTAGTTAACACTTTTAAATTAATCTGCAATCCTCAACTGTTTTCAACAATAAGCCTGTGTTGCAACTTGATTTTCTTTGTTTGACTTTCTTGACTTTCAGAAATCAGATTAATTTTGTTTGAATGATAGGCTCAGCTCTTATAAGTTGTGTGGTCTTGGGCAAGTCACTCAACTGTAGGATGAGGATATCTTCTTTACTAGATTGCTCCAGGGATATCATAAGATAGTGCATATGGAGTGCTCAAGGAGCTCTGGTGATGCAGTGTCTAAGGCATTGGACTGCTAACCAGAAGGTTGATGGTTCATACCCATCAGGCACTCTGTAGAAGGAAGACTGGACAATCTGCTTCATATTTACAGCCTTGAAAACCCAGTGGGGTCCCTATGAGTCAGCATTGACTCTATGGCAGTGGCTTTGGTTTTTTATAGTGCTCAGGACAATCTCTGCCAAATGATAAGCACTGAATGAACACTCAACTGCTCAAATTTATCAAGGGAAAGAAAGAAAGAATTGGGAATATACACAGTCAACTAATACAGCAAAAAGAGCACAAGATTAGGAGTGGGCAGGGTCTGAGTTAATCACAGCCTTTCTAATGACCACATTATCTCAGGCAATTCACTTACTCTTTTACAATACATACCCAGGCAGGAACATTTTAAATAGAAGGATTTGAAAAGTCTGAGAGTGGTATTAGAGTTTAAATTCCAAAGCACTTGGGGGTGTGGAAGGCTGCAGTCTACAGTGGGAACCCTAACTTCATTTTGAGTCCTGTCCTAAATTCAGATGCTATCTGAGTTCTTTCTGATCATTTAGCCAGCAATCTGGTTATGCTTAGAAAGTCTGGGACAAATTTAGGGAGGGGCAGTTAGCCCTCTGGCTGAGTGTGGTAGAAAGTAGATTATGCTCACACAAAGAACTAGGGAACTTGCCTGAGTGTGTCCTTAATGATTTACCAACAATAAACTAAAACTCACTGCTCGGATCCAACTAATAGCAACCCCTCCTTCAGTTTCCCAGGTGGTATCACTATGGAAGTAGATTGCTCAATCTTCCTTCTGGTTAGCAGTCAAATGCCTTAGGCACTACACTACCAGAGCTTTACATGTTATCAATTTAAATTAAAGGTTGGGGTCTTGGTATTGTCTTGTAGCCACCTTGTGGTTATGGTTCAAGGCTACATAGTCATAAATCATTCCCAGACCACCAAATAACCAGGTGTTCAAGCCCGAGAACCCAATCCTGTAATCCTTTTGAATCTTCAGTTATGGTCCTTTCCCCACTTCTATAGTCCCAGGAGGGACTGCGATTTGTTAACCTGAGCTCATTATCAAATATATTGAACAACATGACTGATTCCTGGACTCCATCAGGCTTCTTGTACTATGTACATGCCGATGGTTTCTCTCATCCTGGATGGTTGTCTTTGGTTGATCTTGTTTTATCTGAAGCTTAATACAAGTTTGATTCTGTTTTTTTTTTTCCCCTTGACACAGAGGTTATAAAGAAATAATCTATTTGGGGCTCGATTTTTTTTATCTATAAAATCATGAATTTGGTAGTTTTCAAGGGTCCTACAAACTGTATGGAGCTCTGAAGGTGTAGTGCCTAAGACTTTTGACTGCTAACCAGAAGGCTGGCAATTCAAACACACAACCCCTCCTGGGAAGGAAGATTGGGCAATCTACTTCCAAGGAGGGGTCACTATGAGTGGATTGACTTGAGGGCAGTGAGTTTGTTTGTTTGTTTGGTTGGTTTTCAAACCAATATTGTGGCTATGCATAGACAAGTTCTAGGACAAACCTGGGGAGAGCCAGTTTGCCCTCAGGAAGAGTGTGGCTGAAAGTAGATTATGCTCAAACAAGAACTAGGGAATTTGCCTGGTTGTGTTCTTGTTAAATTTAAATTAAGATTGGATCCTGGTATTTTCTTGTAGTCACC